ACAAGCAGTTGGGATGATATGTGAATTTCAGGGATTGGACCGGTTCCTCTCCTAGGCTCACGTCCCCAAATTTCACTTCTAAGCCTTAGAGAAATACTGAATTGCCCAAGGGAATGGATGCAACTTGTCAGCTTTAACCATTGTTTGAAAATGAAGGTGCTTGTAAGAACATCTGTGTTATGCTTCCTATTCTTTTCTAAAGCCATAGAAAACCTACAGGGAAAAAGTGAAGTGTTCTATGAATTCAAAGACTTGAGAAACACTCCTACAAGATATAAATATTTAGGAGTTATTTTGTACTGGGAGCTGTGGGTTGAAGTTATGCAAACTTTTAACTTTGTAAAAACATGAAAGTCTAGAAAAAAATTTTAAATCCTTTATAATATGTTATTGCATATTAACAGTGTTTCTTTCCTTGGGCAGAGAACTCATTTGGGTTGCATGGTTCCTTGTTCAAAGTGAATTTTCAAATTTTCCAAAGGAGACATAAGTGTTCTGTTTCCTAGAAGATTATTATTTTTTTTTGTAAAATCATATCTAGGGGAGAAAAAGGATTCTGAAGACTTTTTGCAGGGTGTATAATATATATCAGTCCTCATCGGAAATTCAAATCAATTCAATAAAATGTTCATAGAGTACTCTATGTAAAAATGTGAATGTATTGGGATTCCTCAAACAAAGTTATTACCATCAAGGAGCTCCTAAACAAAGATGGGCTATAGACATGTACAGCCAACAAAGATGCAGTGTGAAAGGTTTTATGATGGAAGAAAACTGAGCAGATCCTTAAAAGATGAGGGGGCGCCTGGGTGGCTCAGATGATTAAGCGTCTGCCTTCAGCTCAGGTCATGATCCCAGTCCTGGGATCGAGCCCCACATCGGGCTTCTGACTCGGCGGGGAGTCTGCTTCTTCCTCTCCCTCTGCCTCTCCCACTGCTCATGCTCTCTCTCTCTCTGTATCTCTGTGTCTCAAATGAATAAATAAAATCTTTAAAAAAAAAAAAGATGAGGTATATCTGTTAGTAGAAGGTAGAAGTGGGGGAGCATTTCAGGCAGAGGGACTGAAAGAAGCTAAGGCTTCTATATGGTTTCTGGAGGGGGCAGATGTGTGCAGCTGGTGGCTGGGGAATATGGAGGAAGATTCAGAAAGAGTGAAGTATCTAGAAAGTAAAGGTAAGTTGGATTTTTAAGATTTTATCATTCAGGCAATGAGGAGTCCTCGAATGTTTTTATAAATATATATTTTAGAAAGAGAAGTTAGTTCTTCTTTGTAGCAAATAGAAATGGACTCTGGTAACGACCATTACATGTGTATGGTTGAGAGGCAGGTATTGAAACGTTGACACTCTAACCCACTTGTGCAAGAAGAGAAAGTTCTCTTTTTAAAGAAGAGTAACTTCTCAATATCTCTGTAACTAGAATGACCATAAGACATACTGTCCAAACTGGAACACTTTGGAGAACAAAAGGTGGGAACTTTTAATAATTCTATTAGGGCAGCAGTCCGGAATTGGGGGTGTCCTGGGCAAATTGGGAGCCTCTCTATTTATAACTAAAGGAAATTTTTAGTTGACAACAAACAAGCATATAAAACCTTTATTTGGAATTTACAACTCAACCTCACCTATATAAAATTCTTTTTGATTTCAAAGTCACTGTCGGGTGAATACTGAGACAATTTATAAGTGAAGGAATGTGAACTAACACAGAGAGAACACTGTGTTGGGCACTGTTCACAGTTGCCGGCACTTTACACATATGAAGTCATTTAACCCCAAGCAAAAAAACTACAAGGTCAGTATTAATATAAGTTCTCATTGTATAGGTGAAGAAATCAAGGCAGAGTTTAAGTGACATGCCCAAGGCTAGCTGTTGACCTAGCAGGTACTAGAGCCAGGATTCAAATCCAGGTTGGCTGGTACCAAGACTTATGTCCTAAACTCTACTGCATTGCCTTGCAGACTCTAAGTCACACCTTGCTTGCCTTCTAAATTTGAATTCCAGATAAACAATGAATAATTGTTCAGTACAAGTATGCCCCATGAAATGTTTGGGTCAACGCTTCTCCTTCCTAGTTGCTGAAAGAACTTATATATCCTGTTTGCATGGGTGTGGGCTCCTGGTCTCTGGGTTTGGGCCAGTATTCTTGGTACATCCACTAAAGTGTCCTTCGTGGTTGTGTAGCTCGTGGACCATTTTCTCAGCAGAGCCCGTGGTATTTCTGACCAGGTTCAGTTCTGCCTTTACTCCTGGTAATGCTGTAGATGCCCGGGGTCCCAGCCTCTTCTCCTTCCCACCTGAAAATACATGCTTAGTATTCATATGAATATTATACATATTATGGACTGTTTTGATAATATTTAAGAAAAGACTTTGAAGTAAGCTAGAAAAAAGTCTCAACTCATGTGGGAAAATAGTTCTGTTTGCCTGTGTGTGATAAAATCAAAATTCCACCATCACACCGAATCCCTCATTATTGCTCAAAAATGGACTCTATTATATATGAGGGACTTCCTATAAGGGAAAACCTGGTGAGGTCTGTTTGCAGTAACCAAAAAAACTAAGCAGATCATTTTTCTGTCATTAGGCTGTGATTTTCTATCAGTGCCCTTCATTGTCCTCCACCTAAGACCACATTTTCTTACTACCCCAAGGCAGGCAAGCAGTTGGGGTGCAGCTAAAGAATTCTGGGTTTCAGTTCCAGATCGATACACAATTCTCAGAGCCTTAGTTTCCTTATTTCTAATATTGGAACAATAATACTACCTGCCACACAAAGTTCTTTTGAAGTTTAAATGAAAAGCGCCAAGTAAAACATGAAATGTTTTAAATGTAATTCAAGGTGATGATCTTGCTTAGTTGCTAGACTCCTGTCTCTCATGGCCCATGTAGTGGGGCAGAACAGTGGCCTCCCCAAAAGATACATCTACCTGGAACTTGTGACTGTGAGCTTATTTGGGAGTTGGGTTTAGACCCCCAAGGGTCTTGAAATGGGATCTTGAAATGGGATCATTCTGGATTTAGGATGGACCCTCAATGCAATGATAGGTATGCTTAGAAAGATCAAGAGAGGTTTGAGACACAGAGATACTAGGGAGAAGGCCATGTGAAGACAAGTAGAGATTACAGTTTTGCTGGTACAAGCCAAGGAACATCTGGATCCACCAGAAACTAGAGAGACATGGAAGGATTCTCTCCCAGAGCCTTTGGAGAGTTCCCAATGACCCTTGATTTTGGACTTCTGGCCCCTAGAACTGTGAGAGAAGAAAAATGACTGTTATTTTTATCTTTTTATCTTTTTAATATAAATAAATATATTTTATTTATTTTTTATAAATAACATTTATTTTTGTATTTATTTTTTATAAACAATAAATTTTAAATTATAAATTATAAATTTTATAAATAATAAATTATTAAATAAAATAAATAAATAATATAAATAAAAATTTATATTTTCATCTAAGCAGTTGTGATTTGTTGGGCAGTCTTGGGAAACTGATACAGCTCATGTTCCATCCATCAGTAAATCATGACAACTCAATCTTCAAAATGTATCGAGACCATGCATCACCTCCTCCTGCCCAGTGAGCTACACAAGCCACCAACGTGGTATTATTGGCCATCCTGTGTTAGTCCTTTTGTCCCCTAGTCACAGCAATCAGAGAGTGATTTTACACTGAAGTCAAATCTTGCCAGTCCTCTGCTCAAAACTTTCCACTTCCCGTTTCTCTCAGAATATAACCCAAAGGTCTTACCGGGGCCTGCAACGCTGATATGATCTGGCCCTGCTATCTCTCTGACCTCATTTCTTACCACCCAGTCTCAGTTTCCTTGTTGTTCTGCAAAGGTGCCAAGCACCCTCCCTTAAAGCCTTTGTGTGCCCTTCCTTCTAGCCAGATAACCACAGGCCTGCTTCCTGACAGGTCTCTGCTCAAATCCCACCTCCTCAGAGAAACCTTGCTCATCCATCCTATCCAAAGTGGCCAATTACTGTCTATAACATATCGGTTTATTGATTATCCTGAAAGTGCCCATTGGAAACCGTCTATTTTCCTGTTCATAGCCTCTCTCTCTCCTGTGTCCGGACATTGTCTGTCTTGTTCATTCCACATTTCCAGTATTAACGCTCAGTACATTGCCGCCACTAATAAATATTTGTTGAATGAATGAAGAAACCGATAAACCTTATAGCTATTAAGGGTGTCGACCCAAGAAGATGGGGATGGTAACTACTTTCAGCCCCACCCAAACAGCCCTTTTAGAAAAGTAACCTAGATAACTGCCTACACACATTCTCTGCGGATGGAATAAGAGTCACCACCAAAAGAAACAACCCACTGTAGTTGCAAAGGAAGATCTGAAGTCAGGGCATAGTTAAATACTGTCAACTTTTTAATGAGGCATTTTAGAATGCTCACAACTATCAAGTCCAAGATCTCTATTAATGTGAAATCTATAAATGGGTTCCTAAAGGAATTTGGAAGCAACAAAAACAATTTTTCATGTGTTTAACACTCAGCAGTTTAAAAAAGTGCTTTCATACTCATTTTGATTGTTACATGTCTGAATTAGAGATGGTAGATAATATTCTCATCTTACAGATGGAATTAAGGAGACAGGAGGTAACGAGGGTGCCGTTCCCGCGTGTAGGGTCGTGGAGAGCGAAGCGTGACCGTGCTACTGGAAATGTTCTTGAAGGGGCCGGGGCCCACTCCCTGGGCAGCAGGACCTCAGGTCACAGGTACTCAGACGAGTTTAACCTGCGTTCCCGGGACGTGGCGGGGGCGCGACGAGGCTCCCAGAGGGCGGGGCGGGGCGGGGCGCGTGGCCTCGGG